TATCCGTAGACAGTTGAACGTATCCAGTTCCATCAGAAACCCCGCCAAGCTATATCTCCAAGCTGGTCGAAGGTGCTGCGGTCGCTGTGAGGGACGGCCGCCTGCTCGATGACCCGGCGCACCTCGCTGGAGATGCCTGCTCACACGTTGTTCGGTGATGCTCCACTGTTTGTAGCTCCACCGCACCTCAGCAGAGATGCTGCTCACCTGCGCGATGATGCGGCCCACCTGCTTGTCGAGCCAGTCCACGATGGCTCTCGCGGGCTGCGGTGGCTTTGCGGGACAGGGCCGCGCGCGCGCCGCCCGTGGGCGGCTCCACTGCCAGAGCGGGGATCGCTCTGTTTTCCATCGGGCTTTACATTATCGTTATTCCCCCTTACATCCTTCCACCTCGCCATTTCTCTCGCCCCTTCCCCGTCCCGCATGCCATCCTTCCCCTCTGCCCTCCACCTTCCACTTCCCCCCTGACCCCCCTGGCCCCAGCATGCAGAACACGAGTTCGAAGAACGACTGATGGACTGCGAAGTACCCAAGAAAGCACAACGTGTGCCACATCTTGGGGCGAGGTCAGCAAAGTAAGTACCTATGTCCTCCATGGTTCACTCTCTGGGCAGGGCGGGGGGAAAAACTAAGTCGCAAGCCAGATACACATTCGTCCACCAAGCGGCGAACAAGCGGTGTTTCATTGCGGATGGCGCGAACATCGGGGGCCACATGCGAACCCTACCCTTACCCCCACGATTTCTGAGGGGAGTGTGGGATTCACTTCGTTCGGGACACGTGGCCCCCTAGAACAGTGCACACGAGACTGCACGAGAGCTCTCTGAAATCTGTCACTCCACAGCGTGGTCGAGGCACGCTGGCCTGGCCTCCCCTCTCTCTGGCGGCCCTCCCCGGACAATGGCAAGGAATGGCAACATCCTGGCAGGATTAGGTCGGGCATGTCCCCCTACAGGCGGATTGGGGGCGAACAAAACAAAAGATAGTCAAAAACACGAGAGTAGTCCAACAATGGTCGAACAATCGTTCCCAGACTGTTTTTTTACCCTTTTTGAATATTCCTCCTGTAGGGGGACGTGCCCGACTCAATGGTAGGATCCTCCTGCTGGTGCGGAGCCCCGGTTCTGCAGCGCCCCGCCCGAGACACCTAACAGTCTGCAGATCGGGGAGGCACCGCGGACCTCCTCGCCTGAGGTGGCCCGCTGGTGGTGGTGGTGTCGTTTCTCGTTCCTCCCGCCGAGAGCTGAGCGTTGTCCTGGGGTGGAGGGCTAAGGGTGAAATCCATATGGTCTTTTGCGCCTCGAAAATCAGCCCGTCTTGTGACTCACCTTTTGCAGAGTCAAACCTCGAGAATCAACCGAAACGGCATTTCAAATTTCGCCCTTTGCCCTCCACCCAAAGAAAATGCTCGGGAGAGGGAGGAAAAGGGGGGGGGGCCATGGCGAGGAAGCAACGCATCAGGAGAGACGCAGGGCGAAGGCAGCTCAGATGCCAGCACATTGCGGCCTTCATCCCGAGCCTGTACCAGTCGCTGCTGGTCCACTGCGTGTGCCGCAGCCGGAAGGCGTAGCGCTCCCCTGCTGTCAGGCTGATCGGATTGGAGATCTGCTTGTCGGGACCTGATGGGTGCATCCACCAAAGCAGTCTGGCCATCTCGCGAGCTTGCGGAGAAGGCGGTTCCAAGTCCACCCCTGACAATTCCCTGTGGGGTAGCAGGCCCCAATCAGCACCGAATCGGCGATTGCGGGACAACGTACCCTCATCAGCCAACGGTCAATAACTTTTGCTTAGCGTGTCGCCGCAGCGGCCCTGGCGACACGGTATGCACTGCGAGCGGATAGCATGTCGCTCCACTCCGCTGGGCGGGAAACTCGGGAGAGCCCGGGGCATTGACGCCTGAAAACTGCGACGTGGATAGCGCGTCGCGCCGAAGCGTGGTGAGCCAGAACCGGCGGAGCGACACGCTGAGCTAAAATTCCTGACCAAATCAACCCCAAACGATGCCCCTGGCGCAAAGAGAACGCCGGGTTAAGAGCCAGAGCGACGGCGGCAACGGCGAGTAAACGAGGACAGCATGCCTTCGCAGGGGCACCCAACTAACCATGCGCTGTTGAGAATAATCCCCGGGGATAATACGGTTCGGGGTCCAAGCGGGATGATCAAAGTGAGGGGGCCGAACGGTCATTCATTGTCCCTGGGTGCGTGGCTGAATAAGGACTTCGTGGTGAGAATTCTGCTTGTTGCGTTGTTTTTGTTGGTGTTGTTGTTGTTGGTATTGTTGTTGATGTTGTTGATGTTGTTGTTGTTGCTGTTGTTGTTGTTGTTGTTGTTGTTGTTGTTGTTATTGTTGGTGTTGTTGTCGTTGTTGTTGTTACTGTTGTTGTTGGTGTTGTTGTTGATGCTGTTGTTGGTGGTGTTGGTGTTGGTGTTGTTGTTGTTGTTGGTGTTGTTGTTATTGTTGTTGTTGGTGTTGGTGCTGTTGGTGTTGTTGTTGTTGGTGTTGTTGGTGGTGTTGTTGTTGTTGTCGTTGCTGTTGGTGTTGTTGTTGTTGGTGTTGTTGTTGGTGTTGTTGTTGTTGGTGTTGTTGTTGTTGGTGTTGTTGTTGTTGTTGGTGTTGTTGTTGTTGTTTGTTGTCGTCCCACCCGCGACCCACACGCGACCCACCCCGCGACCCATCCTGCGACACATCCCGCGACCCATCCCGCGACCCACCCCGCGACCCACACGCGACCCACCCCGCGACCAACCGCGACCCATCCGCGATCCACCCGCGACCCACCCCGCGAACCACCCGCGACCCACCCCGCGACCCATCCGCGACCCATCCGCGACCCACCCGCGACCCACCCCGCGAACCACCCGCGAACCACCCCGCGACCCACCCTCAAGGGAGGAAAACCGCTCGGACCCGATAACGTTTACTAAACGGCCCTGGGCGTCGACTAAACAGCCCTGCCCTGTTCGATTCATTCTTTGTGTGCGTTTACTAAACGGCTTCGCTTGTCGGGGTGATTAGTATGGGGTGGATTTTCTGCCCTTTAGACCCGCGACCCACCCGCGACCCAACGACGACCCACCCGCGGCCCACCCGCGAACCCACCCGCGACCCACCCACATTGGTTAAAGGAAAACAAGTTTGGCGGGCTCGTTATATAATGTGTGAAACTTTGGCGCCTGCGGCGGGCTTCTCCAGAGTCTCGCAAGCTGCTGACGTCCCCACCGCCCCCTCACTCTTATCCGCATCTGCGGGGTGCTACGTATTTCCCCCGGGGGTCTCGATGTCAGGATGTCTGGATCGGTCTTCAAGATCGGTCCTCAAGAGCCTGAATGATCCTCCTAGACGACCTCCCTTGAGATATGGAGTTGCCGCAGGATAAGGACGGGCGGGCCTTGCCCAGGGCCACCCGCGTGTCTCTCTGCACGGGGTGGCCACGAGGGTAAGCTACATGGAGCCTCTGCGGCAGTCATGTGGCAGCAGTGGGGCAGCAGGAAACGAGCAGTGGAGAAGGCGCTGTCACGAAGAGACCACCTGAGCTGAGGCAGCGAGACACAAGCACGTTCTACAAACGAGGGAGGGGGGAGGACAATGGAGGGAAGCGGAGGGGAGACTGAAGGGGGAGTGTGAGGGGTGGAGGAGAGGGGGATGGCAGGGTGAGTGAAAGGTGTATGTGAGGGGGCTGGGAGGTGCGTGGGGGGATAGGCCAGGGATGAGGCTGGCGAAGGGGACGCTGAGGGGAGGGAAGGCGAGAGGAGGAGAGGGAGGATCGTGCCATTAGCAGCCGTCGCGGGGAGGGCGTCGGACCTGCCACCTGGCCGGTGCTGATGTCGCCGTGGATGAAAAACAAGTGGGGGTTGTACTGCCGGTCATGCCCAGCCTCCTCCCTCCCCCTATCCTCCTCCTTTTTGACCTTGCTCGGACTGGGTGTGCTAGCACGAAGCGGTCAAGCCTCTTCCTCCCTCCTCCTCCTCCCTCCTCCTCCTCCTCCTCCTCCTCCTCCTCCTCCTCCTCCTCCTCCTCCTCCTCCTCCTCCTCCTCCTCCTCCTCCTCCTCCCCTCTCCTCCTCCTCCTCCTCCTCCTCCTCCTCCTCCTCCTCCCTCCTCCTCCTCCTCCTCCTCCTCCTCCTCCTCCTCTCCTCCTCCTCCCCTCCTCCTCCCTCTCCTCCTCCTCCTCCTCCTCCTCCTCCTCTCCTCCCTCCTCCTCCTCCTCCTCCTCCTCCTCCTCCTCCTCTCTCCTCACCCTCCTCCTCCTCACTCTCCTCCTCCTCACTCCTCGTCCTCGTCGTCCTCGTCCTCCTCCTCCCTCCTCCTCCTCGCCTCCTCCTCCTCCTGCTCTTCTCTCCTCCTCCTCCTCCTCCTCCTCCTCTCCTCCTCCTCCTCCTCCTCTCTCCTTCGTCCTCCTCCTGCTCTTCCTCCTGCTCCTCCTCCTCCTCCTCCTCCTCCTCCTCCACCTCCTCCTCCTCCTCCTCCGCCGAATCTTTCTCCACTCATGAAAGCAAAAAGAGCCACTAGCACCAGAACTCCATGGAACTCCGTTCCTTAAAGACCACGTCCCCGAGCTGGTGCCACTCCGTTCCGGGCACTCTCTGGGGCGCGCTCAGAACGGGGTGCGACCAGATCGGGGAGGGGGAGCGATCCACTCCGTGTCGTCCTCGTATCGTGTCGAAGTGCAGGCATCGGAGCTTTTGCCTGGGCGCCCGAGCAGACTCCTTGGTGGAAGCTGGCATTTTGCCGATTGCGTGCCGCCCTTCGCTGACAGGCGTCATGCTTGATTGGCCTTGCAATCCAAAATCCTCTTCCTCCTCGTCCTCCTCCTCCTC